AGTTATATTTTTAAACTATATTACTTGTGATTTCTTCATTAATCTTGCCCTTTTCATTTCTAGTTATTTATGTTCCTTGTGCATTTCTTACGGTGAATGAGACCCTTGAAGAAGGGGGGGTTTAATCTATCTTTGCATTTCTGCCTCATGCTCTTGGCTTCTTAAAAGCTTCAGTAGTACTGTGATTCTGTCTAGCTGCGGAGCATAATTTTGCTTCATTCTTGATTTCCTTGTGCAGGTCGTGAACAACTGCTTGAATCCTGTTTGGAATCAAACTTTTGACTTTGTTGTTGAGGATGGATTGCATGATATGCTTATTATCGAAGTTTGGGATCATGACACATGCGGGAAGGTAAAAAAACTTTTTCTTTATTTTTCAAGTTTATCATTCAGTGGTTGCATGATGGTATATATTTGTGATCATTTTTAGTCCATTTCTGTGTTTCAATTGCATTCTCGCAATTATTCCCACGCATTGGGGCTATGATGACCTGAAAGAACATTATAATAAAAAAATTTGGGGGTTTGTTTGAGAGCAAGTAAAACTGTTCTTATTATCAATGCTATTGAAATTATAAAGTTTTCATCAATTCCCACTATTATTTACGTTTTTTTTTTTAGCAATCATCAAAATGCTCGCTGTTTACTGCTTGCACATCGTACTCCAAAATTAACGTCTTTTTAAATTATGTGGTGGAACTGACTTCCGAACTGGATGCTTATATGAGCCCTTGTCCATGTCCTTCATTAATTTTCTGATGCCAAGCATGTTGGTCAAATGAATGTCTTTGAGACTACATAAAAATTAACCTCTGCACCACAACTATGTGCATATCTCAGTATGGAAGTGCGATGGTGGTGCTTGTGCGCATTTTTCCTGTCAGGATCTTTAGTGCTTGGCATTTTCAAGCTTTTAAAAGAAGGGAATCCTGATAAATAACCTAAGATCTAGTTACTTTGATGGATTTAGAGGCTACTGCACTGTGCATGCCCTCGTTTGCTGACCTTGTTTCGCTGTGATGAGTATTGACACAGTTTTTCTTAATTTTATATTTATTCAGGATTATATGGGAAGATGCATCCTAACTTTGACCAGGGTCATATTGGAAGGGGAATACAAAGAGTGCTTCCAACTTGATGAGGCTAAATCTGGAAGATTAAATTTGCACCTCAAGTGGACGCCGCAGCATATTTATCGTGATTCTTGATTTAACCTGCCGAGGTGCAGCCGGCGAGAACTTTGGAAAGAGTCTGTGTTTGTTAATATGTACTGTAGTGAATTAGTTGGTATTATCTTAATGTAACTATATTTAATTTATTAATAAAGATTTATTTATTTAATATTTGATTAGTAAATAAGAGTAAACATAAAGTTTTTGAAATAAAAATATTTTACAAAAAAAATTATAAAGTTATTATAATTATAAAATTTTTATTGAATTAATGTATTGTGTATAAGATATTATTAGTAAATATTTTATTAAGATTAAATATTAATTAGAGTTATTAAAATTTAATGAATATTTTATTTTTTTAATAAAAAAATAATTGTTTTCACTAACATACGAGGGGTATTAATATGTAGATTAAATCAAATTATTGATATATAAATCATAAACAATCCTAGATTTATCTGAGAAGAAATTGGAACTATTATTTTAAATCGATTATTTTTATTTTTACTGTCTATATGGGTTCAGAAAACACAAGCAGCTCTTCTTGGTATTAGCAAATGTTTTCGTTAACACTTTTGGATGCTAATTCCCATCATTCAAGTTATCCCACTGCTCATCTTACGCGGTGAAAGTTGATGTTATTTCTCAATCACCTTCTTCTTTCTTTATTCGATGGTAAGGTATGGCTTTAGATCGCTGACAGTTTCTTAGGTGAACAATAAAAATGTTGCTGCCTAGCAAATAGCTCTCGATTACGTGAGAGTCAAATTGCTCAGGCCACTTTAAAAGACAAGGCCTGCTAAACTTTCTTGTGGTTGCAAACATCTGCCATTAAATGGCTAATAATTCTGGAAAAATGAAATATTTTTTAGATTTGTCTTTCATTTCTTTCCCTTCCCCCTGCTTTTTTTTTTGTTTGTAGTATCTACCCTGTGCTATATATATGACTGAAATCCAGTTAAATTATATTGAGCTTCTTTGATTCAGTTGTTCTTTGCATTTGAGTCCTGGAATGGATCCTAAGAGTTGCGTTAATTATTTATGTTAGTGCTCTTACATTTTTTGGCCCTTTTGCAATTCGAATAGCTCTGGAATTTTATTAAATAAACACATATTTTTGAGACAATCCTGCTAGGTTGTCTGAAAAATGAATCAAACCTTAAAAGCATTGGCTTAATTAATTAAGTCAGATGTGACAATTTATTATTTTGATATGATTTTGTTTGGATCTTAACATTTAGCACAATGTTTCCATTTTCAAGTCGTTGTTTTCGAAAGAGAAGGGATGGGCAAGCCTGTGGAATAATAGCTGTTTTTTTTTCAAAAAAAAAAGGAAGAAGATATATTAAACAATTATTTATTTTTATTTTTATAAAAATTATTTTAGTATCAATACATTAAAATAATTTAAAAATATATATAAAAAATGAAACTATACAACTTTCATAGTGATTTGTTGTTACTCTACCTTTGACTCTACAGAGTCAAAAACTATCTTATATATTAACATCCTGTCCTATAAATACAGCTATATGTATTCAAGGCCAAGGAAACAACACTTACTTCAAGGTAAGGGAGGGGCTCCTTGATAAGAAAACATGCTTTAAGTTATGCTTTTTGCAAACACACCTAGAAGCTGTTTTTGAAGTATTTTATTGCGCGGTAGTTGTTATTTTTTAAAGTATTTTTTATTTAAAAATATATTAAAATATTTTTTATTTTTAAAAATTATTTTTAATATTAATATATTAAAATAATTTAAAAACATCAAAAAAACATTAATTTTATAAAAAAAATTAAATTAATTTTTTTAAATAATAAAAACAAACAAAACATATAAAATATAATAATTTAAGACTTTTTTCTCCATCATCAGTGCTAATTAAGTATGAGGGTCTCCTAAATCCACAAAAAAGACTTGTTTTGCAGCTAATCAACCTACGCAAGCCTAGTCTGCTGCACCTTCCAGCCCATCATAATCTTGGAAAAACCAAGATCTCTTGGGGGTTATCAGGAACTTTTCAATGCCCATTTACCCTTTTTAAGCAATCAGCTACTTTATTTCCATATATATATATATATAGCAACTTTATTAGTCAAATAAGGTCTTCAAATAGAGGAGCTTCCTTTTGTTTCACAGCAATCACTTCCCATTTGACTCATCAACTCCACCAATGTGTATTGAATTGCAAAATAACAAAGAGATTCTAGGTTTTTGAGAGCCTACGACCAAAAAGAAAGTTCAAACAAGGATCACATGCCTTTTCATTTGTTTTTTAGTTTTAAAAATATTTTTTAAATGTTTTAAAATAAATTTTTAAAAATTTAAAAATATTATCATAACATATTTTTAAATAAAAAATAATTTAAAAAATAATTTTTACTACATTACAAAACACCTCGAAACCTCCAAATGAAAAGCAGACAGGTCAATGAAACAATAACAAAAAAAAATAACAAAAGGAAAGAGGGAAGTATAGAATCAGATCTCACATAGCATCCAAACCTTCCATCTGATCTCTCAAGCGTCAATGAAAGCATCGAAACTGAAAAGCTCATAGAATTAGAAACGGATCAACAAGCTGCAAGGCTGTCTTCGTCACAGCAACGTACTTGAAAGCAAATGATCGATGGATCATCTACATTAATATAGCTAGATATATGTCTTATTCTTCTTATATGTGCTAAAAACATTTTCAAATTAATTACTAATGTTATGTCATACATTATTCCAGACTATTAAATCTAGATAGAAAAATTAGGAACTATATTTATGAATTTTGTCATTACTTTTTCTTAAATGCATATATAGATTAGTCATTTACCTTATAAAAAGTATTGCGTCTTTTATATCCAATGTATATCTGACTAACACAATCAATCTTGATTATATTTATGTTTTGAAGAACCTATTTGAGAGTATAATAACTTTTATTTTTAAATGTTTTTTAAAAATGAGTTTATCTTGTAAAACATCAAATTGATGTTGTTTTAGTTTTAGTTTTAGTATTTTTCAATAATTTTGATATGCTCATGTTAAAAATATAAAAATATTTTAAAATATTTTTAAGTGAAATGTATTTTGCATCACAATATTGAAGTTTATGATTTTTCTTTTTAAAAATAAGTTTATCTTGTAAAAACATCAAATTGATGTTGTTTTAATTTTAGTATTTTTTATAATTTTGAAATGCTCATGTTAAAAATATAAAAAAAATATTTTAAAATGTTTTTAAGTGAAATGTATTTTTATAAAGCATCATGCATCACAATATTGAAGTTTATGATTTTTCACATATAATTTTCATTTTATATTAGTCATGAATTTATAAAGGTGGGACTGGTATATGCATGAAACGTTATCCCTCCTATTTATGCATTAGTATCACTAAACTACAAGCTCAGTGCATGGTTTAATATGTCTCTTATTGCTTTAAATATTCTAAGAAAGATGTATCTCAAATACAAAGTTTATTAGCATGATCAGTATATTCTCCCTCCTTGACCATCAAGTTAATCTAAAGGGAATTGAGAGAAATACCATTTTCATGATGACTCGAGAATATACGTTAGGAAAAAAATAAAATCCAAAGTCATTTTTTTCAATAGAGAATATTAATGAAGAGACTAAATTTTTTAAATATTTGTGAGACAAAAAGAAAAAGAAAAGGAAAAGGGAAGACGTTCATTAATATTCATAAATTGAAAACGGGACTAAACAATATCAATAATTAAGTATGTGTTTTTACTGTGAATTAAAAGCATGCAAAAAACTAATTAAATACTGCTAAAATATGAATGTAATATTCTAATAAACAAATATTGCTAGAGCTTGAGGGATAAATCAAGTCCCGATTCATCTGTAAGGTCACTTTTTGGAGGCCTGTTTGGTCGCTGGAGATGATCAGTACTGGGTGGTATATTGAAGGCAATATTTGATGAGGGAGAAGCACAAGAGTTCCGAAATAAGCCATTGTGATCCTCAAACCTTGAAGAAGAAGGAGAAGAAGAAAACTTCCCAAACGGGACGCCACTAAAAGCCTTCGAACTCTCTGCCCTGAGCCTATCAACTGAAGGCTGTGTACTCACCATAACTTGCCTAGACCATCCACCATGCCCATACCGATACCCTCCGAAGGAGTTCCATGGATAAGGCTGTTTCTTGTGGATCAAGGAATCCATCCGCACCCCTACCAACCTATTAAAAGATCCATAATATTGGTTTGTTGGAAGGCTTGAATAGGGATTGTATGGAAATTGCCCAGGAGTTGCACCAACATCCGACCCTTCACGCTTCTTGGCTAGTGCACGCTCCTGTTTGTGTGCGTTTTGGTGACCTCCTAGGGCCTGGGATGTGGAGAACTTTCTCCGGCAAAAGCTGCATGAGAAAACCCTAGGCTCGGTACCTTGCTTCGAGGCCTCATCCATGGACTCTATTGCATGAGAAGAACCAACATTAATGGGGCTAAAGAGATTGAATTCCAGCTTCGACCCGCGGATCGAATCGTCACTGTGAGGTTTCAAATCGATCAGACCACAAGCACTCGATTTAGGAAAGGGTGGTGGTTCGGATCCTCGAACAACTCTCTCTTTCATTTTCATATTTTGATCATGATCACCACAATCTTTATGTGCTTCTCCTCCGAAGGCAGCTGCTGATACGCTAGAAGCCTTGGAGGGGCACCATTCTGGAACGATCGAGTCCATTGACAATATAAAAGAAAGATCGATCAAGTTGTTAAGGAAGATCATCTTTTTATTGAGTCTTGAATAAATCCAGTATCTTTTCAAGAATGGAAAACAAATCCTATTTCGTAGTAATTATTACAAAAAAAATAAGAATAAATATTCTTAAGCCAAAGAGTATATATTAATTAAAGACCATGTCTGTACATAGGAAGAAAAAAAAAACAAAGTGCTACAAAAAAGGTAATTAACGGCATGTTCTTTGGAAGTAAGTAGAGCAAGAGACAACAAAATTGTATCATATTGACTTGCCAACCATTGATGTAATAATATACTTAACAAAACAAGAAAACCCTTAAATTTAATAATGTTAACCCATGTCAATATATAACCTAAGTATGTAAAGAATGTTTTTAGGAGAAATTCATGTTTTCATTCCCATTATGTAAATAATATATTTGGATAATAAATTCTGGAAAAAAAACATGTGCTTTTTTACTTCATTAAAACAATGTGATTGAGCTTTTCCTATTATTTCTTACGAAAATGGGGCGCTAGGGATTGTTTTCCATAATTAAAATTTGTTTCTAGAATTTACAAAACTGGGCACTAGCTAGGGTTTTCAGCAAGAACTTGCCTTCTTCTTGGGCTTTGTATTCCAAAACTGAGCCCCAATTCTTTTCCAAATCCAAATTCAACGCCATAACAATTAAACCCAGCCCTAACCAAGGTCAATTAAAACAATCAACATTCCAATTTTTGAAGTTAAAACGTCTGCTTTACTCAACATGTTTGAGGTGAATTCGTCTAGTCTTTCAGTATACTAATTAAATTACAATGGCTTCTCCTATAAAATCCTAATACTAATACTAATACTACTACTAATAATAATTTATTATTATTATTATTATTATTGAATCATGGTATCTAAATGTGTATTTTTCAATAATAACATCTCTTTATATATCATGAGTGAGTAAATAATGTGCATATATGTAAACAAAGAAATCTTATTCAGACCCTGCTCACGTTTAGCATAATAATGCACATCAGCATTAGTGTTATCTATATAATATTTATAAATCCTATTATTTTAAAATTTTATTTTTAATTACATATGATGTGATAAAAAATAAATAATATAAGTATGAATAAGATTTTATGAATCATTTTTTTAAAAAGAATTTGTTTTAATATTATTAAAATCTGTCAAAAGAAATGATAAAAAATCTTATGAATCATTTCATCGCAAAGAGCAATAGGTGACCTAAGAAAATTACTATGGAATCAATTTAATACTTTGACAAATATTAACTTGTTTTTAAATATCTTTAGAGTCTTAAGATCAAAACTAGAGTGCCAATAAAGTCCCTTCTTTGAAAATTAAAACCTCTCCGTTCACTTAATTGTTGTCAAATATATTTTAAATATATTCAACACCTACACACACATATATATGAATCACACATTAATCCAGTTGTTCTCTACAAATATTTTTTTTTAATTCGAATAACTATGAGATTCTATTAAGTAATCACATGTTTGAGAGAATCATGCATGCTTCTAATTTCACTAATATTAATTAAACGAATCACACATTAATTAAGAACCTCATTAAAAAATACACAATATCGTCTTCCGTTTATTCTCTGCAGACTACATATCTATATTAAAAAGAAATACTTTACTTAGACATACATGTGTATAAACTTTAAAATATAATATATTTCAAAAATCTTTGGGGATATGTACATATATAATAGTTAATGAAGCTTGCCACATAAAATATAAACTTTATATCTATTTCGACTATTATATATATATATATATATATATATATATGATTTAAAATAAGTCTTAAATTTTAATTCAAGGATAAATTAAAAAGTCTTGAAAGATGTTTTTTAATTACTACTCTATCCATTACTATTTTATTTTATTTCTAAATGTTTCCTAATGATTTTTATTTTGGCACTCCCTTCCTGATTGTATCCTAGAGCCGCCCACGTATAGTTTTTGTGTATCTAACTCATAGAGAGATCACCTATAACATAAATATTCAAGTACATAGTCTTTAAGGTGTATTATGATCTAGGATCAGAATTCAAAGCGAATCTGTGAGATAAGCATTTTAATGAATGGGCAAATATCTTGCCTAATTAATATTAGGAGTTTAAGGACTTAGAATCAATACTGCTCAAAAGTTAGCCCGATGATGATTTTAAAAGGATATATAAATTAGTGTTATTAAATTCAATTTGGTCCAAGGAGTTACTTAATTTGGTGACTTAATTCAAACATCTCTTGGATTAGATTTTCATTTAAATTAAAAAAAATTCACTCTATAGATTTGATAGATTCACCTCAACCAATTAATTCAATCAAAACCCAATTTGACTTGAAAAGTTCAAATCAAAATCATTTTAATTTTTTTTTTTAAATCTTGAATCTACATTTTATTTTGAATTAATTCGTGTTAACTTATCTAATTTATAACATAAGGTTTGGTGTAGTCACTATCCAATTTGAGTATAATAATGTTGATGTAAAGCATATTAACGCTGACTGTGAAACTGTTTGGTTCATATATAGCAGCATTCATGTAAGAGATATTATTATCAGAGGTTTCTAAAGAAGAATAGGAAGGAACCTGAATTTATGGCTCTAAAATGGCATGTTAATCTACCAAATCCCTGGCAACTCCCTATCTGATTTCCTTGCTTTTGTGTTGTCTTCTACTACATTTCTTTAGCAGGGCCTCTTTTTTTTTTTTTTCTTATTAATTTTCTGTTGGGTTAAGACTTGAATTAAGAGTTGGTGCCAGCCCTCTGCAGTATCATTATGGTATCTGTTTAGAATCAAACAGGAAGCAATTTGTTTCTTATTCTCACTTGAAAAACGAAAGTGGAACCTTTGTATCTTTACTCAATTAAGCCATCAAATCCCATCAATGCTTCACATCTCAAAGCCCCATATTTAACTTACACCTTCCCCATTTGATCAATATTTCATTAATTAATTAACATCACTTGTCCATGTAAAATTTTCAAAAACCTACCAACTAATATATGTGTTTTTGAATTGGAAACTAATATCCATCACAAAAGATTGATATTAGAGAATGTATGATAAATAGTATCATCGCTTTTAATGAATCCGGATGTGATTTTTCTCTTTCTTGTGTGATTGATCTATGAAGTAATTATGAATAATTACTCCTTAAACTCATTAAAAAGAAAAGGCAAATATATATATATATATATATATATATATATATATGCATGCTTAAAAAAACAAGTTGGGAAAGATTATAAAGACGACCTTCACATTGTAAGATCCCATACATCAAGTACTTTCACAAGGCCATAGATATCAAAAACGAAAAAAAAATTGCATTGACATTTATAAATTGTAAACAAGATTAAGATGCAATGAAAATATTAAGCATTTGTGGTGGAATACTAATAAACAATATTAATTTGCTAGAGCTTGAGAGACAAATCAAGTCCGGATTCATCTGCTTTATCACTTTTTGGAGGGTTAATTTGCTGGATATGATCAGTACTGGGAGGCTTTCTGATCGCAGCAATATTGTTTGATGATGGAGAAGCACCAAAACTGCTGCGAACTGTGCCTTGGTCATCAAACCTTGGAGAAGATGAGGAAGTGGAAATTCCAAATCCACCACAAAAAGCATTTAAGCTCTCTGTCCTTAGCCTATCAATGGAAGGCTGTGTGTTCAACAAAGTTTGCCTGGGCCAGCCGCTATGGGCGCCATAGCGATGCCCTCCGGGGGTTGTCCATGAATAAGGCGATGTCTTGTGAATGAAGGAATCCATCCGTACTCCGAGTGCCCTATTTAAAGATCCATAATAGGGGTTTGTTGAAAGGCTTGAATAAGGGTAATATGGCAAGTGTCCTAAAGCACTCGCATCCATCTCCCGACGCCTCTTGGCTAGTGCCCGCTCCTGTTTGTGTGCGTTTTGGTGCCCTCCTAAGGCTTGGGATGTGGAGAACTCTCTCTTGCAAAAGTTGCACGAGAAAACCCTAGGCTCGGTTTGCCTCGAGGTCTCATCAGTGGACTCTTTTGCATGAGAAGAACCAACACTCGTGGGGCTAAATAGATTGAATTGCTTCGATCCGCGGATTGAGTTGTCGCGACAAAGCTTCAAATCCAGCAAAACTCGAGCACTTGATTCAGGAAGGAGTGCTGGTTCGGATCCTCCTCTGGCATCTTTCTCTTTCATCTTCGTATTGTCCATCTTTGTTTGATCAAGATCACCACCATCTCCATGCGGGGTTCCCTCCGAGGTTGCAGATATGCTAGAGCCCTCGGAGGGAGACTTCTCCGTACCACTTGATTCCATTGAGAACTCAAGAAAGATCAAGTTTAAGTTTGGCTTGGCATAAAGATGGTGAAAATCTTCCTCCTTTTATTGAGTCTTGAATCGATGTAGTATCTTTTCATGGATGGAAAGAATCACGTTGTGTGCTTATTACAATGTATCAATTGAGAAAAGGGGCTTGAATGATGACGAAGCTTAAAAGATTTTGTTTCATTAAATAAGATTTCTCATACAAATATTCCTAATATATGTTTGGTTGCACAATCCAAATGAGTCAAACTTCCGTACGAGGGAGATAAGGCATGATTTGGTGGCTTTCTGTGAATCAAGGCAAGGAACTATCTTTCCATTTATGCATGAGCTAATGTAGTCAGTTGTTATTTTATTTATTTATTTATTTATTTGGATAATGGCTCCTTACAATTACAAATACAATTATATTATTACTGTCGACTAGAACATTGTTATACAGTGTTTTGTTTTTAAAAAATAAAATTGATCCTTGGTATTTGTTTAATTTGATTCGTAGAATTTTTTTATTTGTTCATTTAATTATATGTTTATTTGAGAATAAATTTTGTGGCTTGCTTTGGCTGCCTATCTAATAGTGTTGGGTAAATTTTGTCGATGGTTAATTTAGTAAAATTAAATTATATTTTATTAATTTAAAATAAT